AAGGTACACAGGCTGTTCCTCCATGCTTAGAATGCACTTTCTCCTCACTTTGGCCTCTTAGATTTCCTGGTTTTCTTCAAACCTCAGCTTAAAGCCACTTTCTCCTTCCTATTCTCCCTTTGATCCCCCAAACTGCTAGTGTCTTCCTCCAGCTCTGGGTTTATTTTGTATATGGTCAACAGTAAGACAAGTATTCACTGAACACTTATTATATACCAGCCATTCTGCTAAACATGGGAAATACACTAAAAGATAAAAACAGTCACTGCCCTCAAGGAAATTATGTTCTAATGGGGTAAGCTCCAAGACAATAGGTAAATAATTAGGTATCTATAGGGTATATACAGAGTAAATAGAAGAGGATCTGAGAGGGAAGTGATTGGCAGTTGGTAGGATCAAGAAAGGCCTCCTGCAGATGAGATTTGAGCTATCTTGAAGGAAGCCAGGTAACCAAGAGGCAGAGGTGAAAGGGTATTCCAGCTGTGGAGGCAGCCATTGTAAAGATGTGGAAGTCAAGAGATGGAGTTTTGTATTGGAGGAACTCCAATCCAAGTAATCTCCATAGCTAGATCCTAAACTGTTTGGAGGGTAGTAAAGTATAAGAAGGCTGGAAAGGTAGGAAAAGGCCAGGTGGTGAAGAGCTTTAAATGCTCTAAAGAGGATTTTGTATTTGATCCTAGAGGTAATAGGGAACCAGTAGTGTTCATTGAGCAACGGGATGATATAGCCACACTTACTCTTTTTCTTCCCAGACTTTCTCTTTGGAAAAATCATTTTGGGAGCTGAGTGGAGCTCTATGAATTAGAGTCAAGAGAGACTTGAGGCAGGAAGACAAATTAGAAGGCTATTCCAATAGTCCAGATAAGAACTAGGGTTGTTATTGTGTAAGTGGTGAGAGAAGGATATTTATGGAAGATGTTTTGAAAATAAAAATGACAATATTTGACAAGAGATTGGCTATGTGGGGTGCGTTTGAATGAGTAGCTGAGGATGCATGGCAAGAGTGATTTGGAGGATGGTGGCATTCTTGGGAGAAATAGGGAAGTTTAGGAGAGAGGAGGTCTTGAAGGGAAAGATAATGAGTTATGTTTTGTATTTGTCTACTAGGCATCAGTTAGGGATGTCCAAAAGCAGATAGTGAAATATGACCGTAGCCCAAGAGAGAGGTTATGCTGGATTATGGTTATGCTGGTAATGGAGATCTGGGAATCATCTGTGTAGGGATGATAACTGAACTTGTGGGAGGTGATCATCAAATGGGAGAATAGAGAAGGAAAAGAGAAGAGAGCCCAGGATAGAGCCTTGAGGGACTCCTGTAGTTGGTGGGAGTCACATGGGTGAAGAACCCAGTAAAGGAGACTGAGAAGAAGCATTTGGTCAGACAGATATGTTTTGACAAGTGTCAGCCAAACTGAACTGACCTGTAATCTGTGGATGGCTGAACTGAACAGAGCAGGCTAGAGACAGAAGAGTCAGGAATCAAACAGAAGTTTAATTTCAAAGTGAGGAAAATGGTTTGAAAGCAAGGAGAGGACCTAGACACATGCACCAGGCCCTGCCCCTAGTTGGGAGGACCCGCTTTAGTGTAGGCAGATCTCAATACTTACATCTATGGGCACAGGGATATATTTCTCTCAATAGAATGTATGTTCCTTGTGGGCAGGGATTATTTCATTTTTGTCTTTATATTTCTATGATCTAACACAGTACATGGCACGTAGTCAGTGCTCAATAAATGCTTATTGATTGATTTATTGATTGTTCCAAATGAAACAAAACAAAACAAAACAGCTAGCTAGTATGAGGCCAAGAGATCATCTCTAAGATGCTAGAATTCTGGTGTGTATAAGAGGCTAGACATTACTGAAGGTTTGGCTAAAAGAGCCATATCACTGACTATATTCAGAGGGGAAATCTAAGTTACCACATGATCTCAACAACAACAAAAAACTGAAAAATTTGGTGGGGTATACAAAGAGACATAGCACAAAACCTCTACCCTTGCAGCACTTATATTCTAGTTAAGGAAATAGGATATATACACTTGGAAACATATTTTTAACAGAACAGCAGTATGGTAAATGAACAGATTTGGGTCTAAGTTCTGGCTCAGCTGCCAGAATTCTAGCATCTTAGAGATGACCCCTCAGTTCCAACCTCCCATAGGAACACTTTGGAAAGAGCAATGAATTTGGAGTAAGAGGATCTGGGTTCATAGAATGGGAGGATTTAGAACTGGAAGGGTGCTGAAAGGTCATTTATTCAATAGACAGCCTGATTCTCTCTACTTTCCTTTAGGATCAAGAACAATCTTTCTTTACCTGTTTCAGAGGGCTAAAATAGAGTAGAATGTCAGAGATCACCTATTCCAGTTCCCTTATTTTATAGAATATTAAACTGAAAATGAACTAACTTGCTTAAAATCACATAGGAGGTTAAGTATTAGACCTCTGAGATCTTTAGTAAGTCACTTTACCTCTCTATACCTCAGTTTCCTCATTTGTAAAATAAGAAAATCTGATTAGATGATTTCCCTTCTAGCTTTCAATCCTACAGCTACTCTAAAACTTTTTTGTTGGCTTAAACACCAAAGTGTTTGGACAGGAAGTGACAGGAAGCTTACCTCATAAGGCAACTAATTCCAATTGCTGTGTGATCTTGTAATAATCTTTTTTAACCTCTGGGGTTCTCAGTTTACTCACCTTTCAAATGAATAGAACTTGATATAGATGAGAGAACACTGTATTTAAAGTCAGATGATCCAGGGCTTTAACATTTAGGAGTTTTGTGACTTTGAGCAACACGTGCAAAGGCAGGAGAGGACTGAGTCAATCACTTAGAAACCCCACTAACAGTAAGTGACAATATGCAAAGATAATCAATCAGAGATGTGAACTAGGTGTGGACAAGGCCTAGTCTTATCTCTTCAATTCAATTCAATAGGCAATCTCATTCAATCAAAAATAGACTAACTGTGGGAAAAGTTCACAGCCCATCAATTTAAAAGTCCATGAAGGCCACTGGATGAAGTGAAATGATTGCTCACAATTTGCTTGGATTGGTTCAGGAACCTGGTCATACTCTGTCCTGTTTGGATAAGATTTTTGAGCTAGTTTGGAATTAGAAATTTGAACATCTAGCATGTTAAAAGTTATAAGCTTCCGGCAAAGCCCTTGAGAAGGACTCTATTGGAGGATAGGAGAGTGCCTCTGACTAGGTCTCCTCTCCTCCCTACCCACTTCCTGAAGAAAAGGACCTTGTGAACTTTGAAGGGTCAGAGAAGACTTTCCATCAGCAGCCTACAAACTTCTCTGTTGTAAGACTATAAGCTCCTGGAGAGACCCAACTGGATTTTATACTTCTCTCACCTCCTGAATTTTTATCAGGAGGCTTTGTTTAGGTGTTCTGTCTTGGGAATAACTCAATTAAATTCATTTTAGGTTCGGTTCAACAAATATTTATTGATTTTGTACTAAATGGGTTGTGCAAGGTGCTAGGGCCAGCATAGGGAACCTGCACATGTGGCCTGGATGCCCCAGGTTCCCTAGCCCTGTGCTGGGGCTACACAGACAAAGCCTAGGTAGGGTCCCTGTCCTCTAGGAGCTTACATCAGACTAGGAGTGGAAGAGGAAGATACAATTTGTACAAAAGTAAACAAATACAAAGGATAAACAAAAATAACATTGTGTTTTCACTGGAGAGAGAGCATTAACAACTGGATGGGAGGGGGGAGATCCGGAAAGGTGGCACTTGAACTGAGCTTGAAAGGAAACAAGCAATTCTGAGAGACAGTTTGTGCAAATGCAGTGGAATATGGAAGGTGGTTCAGAGGGAACAGAAAGGAGGCCAGTTTCACTGGAATGGAAAAAGGGGAAGTAATTCAACAACAACAAAAAAATAGGATTAGAAAGGTACTTGGGAGCTAGATAGCAGAGGGTTTTTAAATGCAATGTCACCAACTTTCCCTGATCCTCTCCCTGTTGTTATCCCTCCCTTCCTCTTTCTGTTTCCTTATATTTTATTTAGTTGTGTACCTGTTGTATCCTCATAGCAGTATGTAAGCTCTTTGAGGGTAGGGACTGTTTATTTATTTTTGTCTTTATATCCCTAGATTCTAGCACAGGGCCTTTCACGTGGCAGGAATGACTAAATGTTTTTGTGCACTGAATTTAATAATGAGCCTTGAATGTTGTACTAAATATTTGAAAAATACTTTCTGACTGATGCATTATAATAGTCTGGGTTCTTTTGGCTCAGTAGGTTATGATAATTGCATCTTATGATCATTAACAAGAGTGACTGTGTTTTCAGAACTGTGATTTTAGTGGTGAAGGGGAGATGCATGTGAGAAAACCCTCTCCACTTGTGAAGATAGCCTTCTTCGATAACTTAGAGTTGCCTGGACACTGAGAGATTAAATGACTTGCCTATAGTGACAGGCGAGCATACATTAGGAGGAAAACTTGATCCCAGGTCTTCCTAACTCCAAGGTTGGACCCTCTTCCTCTATTCCACGCTGCCTCCCACCACAGACAAAATTGCATTATTATTTCTTCTTATCCTCAGAGTCCAGGGAAAGAAGGAGGGAGGGGAGGGCAAAGAGACATCCACCGATCCAGATTTTATCTCAGCTGTTAAATCGCCTACATCCTTTTCCCTTTATCCTTAGTTTAAAGCTTTTGGTTTCTTTTCGTGTGTGTGTGTGTGTGTGTGTGTGTATGTGTGTATGTGTGTAGGGGGTGAACATGATGACGTGGGGAAAAAAAGAAAGGAAGAAGCGAGTCGCGTGGGAAGAGAGATGATGACTTACAGTATGTATTTATTTATTCGCCAACTCCCCGTTCCTGCCTCCACCCTCCACCATTTCACCCCTCCACCCTAGGGGGCCCGTGTGGCCTGAAACCTCTAGAGGGAGTCTCTTTCCCCCCCCTTGCATCTCCAACCCCCCCCCTTCCCTTCCACAGTCCCAGCTCCTCCTTTTTCTCCACCTCCCGCCCCTTACCTTCTTCCCTAGGGCTACAAGGAGGTGGCGGTGGCTGGGCTCCTTTAAGGCCGGCCCAGTGGCTGGCCCCCGGGGGCACTGTCTCTTTAAAAGGCTGTATCTTGTCCAGCAGTTGCTGGGGGGAGGGGGGCCGTCGATGACCATTGTTTCTGGCTGGGGTGGCTCTACCCCCTCCCCTTCTCCTCCTTTTCCGCCCTTCCCCCTCCTCCCTCTTCCTCCTCTCCACCCCCCTCTCTCGCTCTCTCCCTCTCTAGCTCTCGTCCTCTCCCTCTCGGGCTCTGTGGCAGCGAGAGAGCGCGCGGCGTCGGAGACGCGGAGCTCTATGTAGGCTCTTGCCCGCTGCATTGGTGCACCCGCCTCCCGGGCACACGCGCACCTACCTAGATTTAATTGGCAATTAAACTAGTGTTGGGGTAAAAGAAAAAAAAAAAAAGGCAGGAGGACAAGATGGCTGAGCTAGGCAGTAAGGGAGTGACCGCAGGGAAAATAGCCAGCAACGTGCAGAAGAAACTCACCCGTGCGCAGGAAAAGGTAAAGGATGCGCCGGGGTCGTCGGGGGCCGGGGTCTGGAATCTCCAGCGAGTGGGATGGGGACAGACAGTGATCCTTAATGCTACTCATCCTCTAACCTCCTTAGCACTACTAACATAGCAACTGGGGCTGTCATTGCAAGGGTGTGTGGTGTGTGGTGTGTGTGTGTGTGTGTGTGTGTGTGTGTGTGTGTGTGTGTGTGTG